GCGTGCCAGTGGGGGTCGGGCTGCCGCTGCAGGAGTGGAAGGGCTTGCTCCCTCCTCCACACTTTGCTTGAGTTTTGCCAAGGTCCATCTCCCAGTGCTCCCTGTCCCCATACCTAACCCCAGGGAGGGTGTGCGGCTTTGCCCACACACTTATGGGTCTGGGTGGCTGTTGCAGGAACGAGGTGCTAGCTTTCTGAGCATGCTCAGGTGAGGAAACCCAATGACAGGTCAAGTTTTGAGGTATTTTGATTTTTCTGTTTTCTTTTGGCTGATTGCAAAAGCTGAAGAAAATGCTCTTCCCACCTGTACAGTGACTGGCCCCCCACTTCAGGTGCCAGCGAAAGAAGGGCGTCCGGACTTAACTTAGAAGAAAGCGGTAAAAGGGACTTACCTGGCACAAGGCAGAGAGGAGCTGAGGGACTGAGTGTGAAACCGGAGTGCTTTGCATTTACTCACGAGCCTGGCTGAGCCTGGCTTGACCTCTCCAGCTCTCTGCCTCCCGGCACCAGCCCCGGTTAGAAGGAGAGAGAGGGAGGAGAAACCGGTAAGTCCTACCTTGATCCAGCTGGAACGTCCGATACTGGACGGTCGGGCTGTATGGCCCGGGGCCTTTACTGGTGTGAGCACGGATTTTAACATCATAGGCGGTGTTGGGTTTGAGGCCGTTGAGGGTGTACGAGTTCTCTGGGGAGGGGGGCAGGTCTTTTTCCAGTGGGTTGCCGGGAGAACCGGCTTCCCGGTAGGCCACGGTGTATTTGATGATGGCTCCATTCCTCTCGGCCAGCACGGGGGGGAGCCAGCCAAACTGGACCGACATGGAAGTGATGTTGCTCGCCTCGAGGATTTGGGGATAACCCTTGGGGATGTCTTCAGGGGTGGTGAGTTCCTGCACAGCTTCCTCCCCAAAGCCAGCCCGGCTTTTCACGGCCAGCTTGAAAACATACGTGGCGCCCTTGTGGATGCTGGGAGCGGTGTACTTATCCTCCAGGGCCGTGAACTCCAAGGTAGCCAGGGGGTCGACATCCTTGCGGCCAAACTGGAGCCGGTAGCCCATCACCTGGCCTTCCGCATCCAGCGGAGGCTCCCATTTCACCAGAAGAGTATTCTCCTCTGTCTGGTGCACAGACAGGATGGGCTTGCCTGGGACTAGGAGAGAAGAGAAACACCTTCAGTCAAAGTTGGGACAGGATGGCTGGTGAGGAGATGCAGAGTCTCTTAAGCTGCAGCAGCAGGTTCCTCAAATCAGTGGCAAGGTTTCAGCTCGACTTGGTGTACTCCTCCGCCTGTAAACCAGGCTGGATTGCTGGATGTACAGGTGGATGGTAACGTATCAAGTTTAGGAAATGAGATGCATTGTCAACGTGTCAGCTGTGAGATTCTGACACATTTCTAGATTGATTTTCTTCCCTTTCCTCAGGATGGAAAGGTGTGCACAGCTCCTCCCTTATCACTGGGTCACATACTCACCCACAGCTGGGAAGAACAAGCTCAGGAGTCCTGACTCCCAGCCTCCTGTCCTAATCACCCAAGCAGATCGCTTCCCAGGGCAGGGAAGAACGAACGCAGAAGTCCCCCAAACTCTCATCCCCTCTCTCTTGCTCTCCGTTACACAGCACAACTCACACAGAAAGAGACTGGAACAGATTGGCTCAGGCTGGGAAGTCCAGAGCAGCTGAGGGTGAAGTAATGAAGGATGGGAAAGGAAGTCTGGGCAGCCCCAGGTCCTGAGCAGCAGGCACGAGGCCAGCTAAGCGAGTCTGGCAGGCATCTGATCACCCAGTTGGGTACAGAAAGAAGGAAGGTCGCAGAGAGAGGAAACGGAGCCCAAAATCTGTGCAAGGCAGAGGGTAGGGAGAGTTGCTGCTTGCTCTGTGCAATTTCTTTCCTCTGGAGGAAGGGAAAAGACAGCTGAGGGTCGGTGTGTTTTCAGTTAGCTCCCTCCTTAACCTGTCAGTTAGTTGCTCCGCATTTGGGGGGATATTGCTGGAGCTCAGCAGTGCCATGCCTCTGTCTAATGAGCCCTGGCACTGCCTGACTACTAAGCAAGCCCACAGCCACAGTTAAATGACATGTGTAGGCCCAGAGGTTCCTGGAGCTGGAGAAACCAGAGCATTAATTCCAGCAGCTCACGCGTCATTTGCACTCAACTCCACTATTAGAGATCTAATTTCCTTCTCTCTGCCTTGGTGTTTCTTCTGGCTGAACAGGAGGGGGAGAGAGAATGGAGTTAGGAGAGATCCCAGCCCACTGTCGCAGCACGAGTGCGACTGAGGGTCGGCAGGTTGGAAAGCTGTAGTGCGGCTAACGAAGCGAGCAGGAAGGAGCCGGCAGGGAAGGATGCTGCCTGCGGCAGGGATCTGGCAGAGTCAAACTGGGGAAACCACTTTGCCTGCTGCATCGAGTGACTTTGGAACACGGGGACGAGGGGTTGTCTCTGAGACAAATGCTTTATTCATTTCAAACTGCCAAAGATGGCTAGGGAGCGTGCTAGGAGAGCCTCCCTTGGAAATGTCTAAGAAACACATTGAAGAGAAAAACAATGCCATTACCTTTATGTTTCGGTTTTTATCACAAATGTTACTATAATCAGCTGAGCTTGAAAATATTACATTTGCACAACAAATATTGTTTGGAAGAAAGGTGAGAAGAAAGCACGGGGCTGAGGGAAGTGTTTTATTTTGCAATTGGTTTGGACAGTAAAGGAGAAAATTGGATGTATTACTGTATTTAAATTCAGCCCCTAGCCCTGAATGATAAAGAAAGAAATCTCTCCTCTCAGAAGGTATATTGACTCAACACTGCAAAGAAGATAAGAATGTTACAGAGCCATTTGAAAGATTTTTTTTAAAATAGCTATTTCAAGTTGGGGGAAATTGAGTTTTGGGTAATAGCTGCTGTGCTGGAGAAAACATCCCTCTGTGACTGATCACCTGCACTGCAAATCCTAATGGGGAGAGATGAGGGAGGTTGACAAGAGAGAGTGACAAGGGAGGGAGGCAGAGAGAAAGGTTCCGGGAATGAAATATGAAAAGGGTAGAGAGCTTTGAGAAGAAGGCAACAAGAGGAGAGAACCAGGGAGCTAGTGAGAAGAAACATGGGCAAAGCCAGAGGGGGAAGGAGAAGAGGGCAAGTGAAGGAAAAGGCTTCTGACAGCACACTGACACTACAAGGCGTGAGGACAGGAGCCTGGATGCTGACATCCAAACGCACGCTGCTGTAACATCTGCAAGAGCTGGTGTCCTGGAAAGCAACCTTGTTCTCTTGTGTACCGTTCTCTTAACTAGGCAGGAGAGGCAAGAGGGGAGAGAAATGCTGAAATCTCATTCACTTGCCTGAACACAAGAACATAAAATGAGATGAAGATGCGAGTTAGGGCAGGGGAAATGGAAGGGCATGGAGGGCGGGCACGGAGGGCAGCCACGGCTCCAGCCCTGTGTGCTCCAGGCCAGGGCTCCTGAGCCCTCTCTGTCCCATACACTCAGCTGAGTGCCTGTGCTGCCTCCAGAGCCTGAGCACAGTTTTCCAGGTTAATTATGCTGCACTGACCAAAGGCCTTTGATCCCTGCAGAGGCAGAGAGCAGTGTTCTTCCAGAAACAAGGGATGATGTCAGTTTATGCGGCTGGTACAGGCAGGGTGAAGACGACTGCCCCAAATCAAAGAAGAAAATGAACAGATAGCCAGGGGTGGGAAGGTAGTAGACAAAGAAAAGAAATGGACAGGGGAGAAAGCCATCTGACAGCAGGAACAAAACAAAGAGCACAAGAAAGATGGGTGAGAGAAGGTAACCACAGTCCAACAGGAGATGGACTGGGCAAGGGACAACTCCAGGTCTAGGCACCGTAGCCTTCCTCCACTGCACAAAACCCTTCCCATACAGCAGAGCAGAGGTTTAGCCAGGAGAGCAGAAGCCACAGGAATGCAGACGCTGAGAGGACAGGTGTCCTTTCTGCTGCAGCACAACTGTTGCTGTCCTGTCTGCCTGCAGCACAACTGTTTGGAGGAGCAAGGGATATTCTGGGGCCCTTTGTCATTCCTCTGTTTAGGCCCTGCCATCCTAGCTTGGCACTGCATCTTCTGCACCGAGGCTGAGAGACACTTTGCCACGAAGAATAGGTCAAAGGGAGGCATGAATCTGGACGGTATGTGCAGAGAGAGCCCAGGTCCCAGAAATGCTAGGAGGAAAGGTCAATACTGTCAGTACTTTCCCCTCTACTAGTCCTGAGCAAAGAGGGGACGTATATTCAGACACGATACTAGAAGAAGAGAAGAGTGGGCAGTATAAGGCACCACTGTCCTCCTGCTGCTTTTCAGATCTTTGCAAGTCAACACGATGACAGCAGACCTCTGGCTCTCCTGTTCCCCAGGATACCTGTGTGCACCAACCATCAAAGCTACAGAGTCTCAGACCAGGCAGAAATTCTCTTTACTTCTGGTGCACTGGAATTTATAGCACGAGACATTACAAGCAATAAATTCATCCTCTGTTGCATTTCTGGGTGTGTCTGGGCTTCCTACAGCACTGGATGGAAAATTATGTCATTTAGTGAGGGCTACATGTGAGGAATGAAGAGATTTCTGCCTTGTTAGAAATAATTTTGTCTTCGGGGCAGCATGGCATTTGTTGCATGTCTGTCCTTCATGAAAGGAGTGGGATGAAAGAAGCTGAGTCTGGAGAAAGCTTCTTGGCTTTAGGAAACTGATGAATCCCAACAGTTCAGGAAAACACTCTTACCTGCACCCTTCGTGGTGATCACTTTTGGTTTGCTGCGAGCACCATCTCCCTTCATGGTGTAGGCGGCTACGGTAATGGAATATGCAGTCTCAGGCTGGAGCCCAGCTATGATCATTTCCTGTTTGCGAGATTCCAAAGGAAAATCATGTAAATATTCAGATACATGCACACAGGTAGATCTCCCCTCCTTGCAGAAGTCCCAGCCCTTTTCTATCATGCAGGAACATTCACTGAATCTGAAACCACGAGACCCTCTGGGGCAACTGGGTAGATGTGGCAATTGGCAGGAGGATGAGCGCCACGTTCCCTTCGCGAGAGGCACGCACACGCTGGCTGCAAGCAGTCCCTCTGTAAACACAGCATGTCTCAGCAGGGCCCTGGTTCAACGCGCTCTCTTCCAGATCTACCTCTCACACATTCCCTATCTCAACACAAACTGCTTCAGCCATCAAAACGCTGTTGCGCTCTTCAAAGTGTCTCGGAGGAGGTCTCAGCGGTTTCAAAGAGATTACATTTTTTTCTCCATTACCCCCCTCCCTTCTTTCCTCAAAGATATTTTTTTAATGCCTTCAGAATATTAAAGGGATTGCTTTAACACAAAGTGCAAGACGACATTTTCTGCTTGACGCTAAAGCTCTCTGCTAAATCCCCAACACCCTCCTTCCTCCATCCTCTATCAGCCTCACCACCCCTGGCTCCCAGGTGCTTTTCTTAGAAGACTGGCCCAAGAATAGCCCTTCCCCATGAAATGTTCAGCCCTCCAAAAGGCTGTGTTGTAAAAGGAATACCCGTGCTAAATCAAACAGGATGGGAGCATATGCAGCAGGGTTTTCTCCACGGCCCTGAAAAGGAGGGAGATGTGAATGTTGTGCATGTTTTATGGCTTTCCTCTCACCTCACTCCCTACTGTCCCTTTGTGGTTTCAGTATTGAATCTCAGGGCGGCACTTGGGAAGAATGTGCTGGTCCTGAAAATATCGGTATTGCCCCCAAAGCTGAGCAGGGAGTGGAACAGCAGAACTTCAAAAGTCTACTTGATCAACAAGTTTGGAAGCCATTAGCTACAGAGACAGGTCTGTCTTCCAGAAGTCAAGAAACTGGTTCTGCTTTCACATTTGCCACTAAGTTTTATTATGGTTTTAGGCAAGGGACTTTGCCTTCCATGTGACTCAGTTTCTCCACCTGTGAAACAGAGGCCCCTCACTTCTGTAGGGCACTTGGCAATCTCTAGGAAACATGCATACACCCACGTCAGTAGTGTATTACCTTGGGACCCTGCCATTCCAAGAAGAAAATGCTTTCTCCTACTGCTTTGTAGCTGTAAGATGATGGAAACCGTTTAGCATTTTGGCAGAAGTAGTAAATGCCAAACAGCCAAGCTGATTTTAAGGTCTACTTAAAAGGTAAAATGGCCAATAGCGATTCAGTGCTTTGTATCAACGAGTATCTAAAAGTCTCAGCCCTTCAAAAGCACAAAGCATTTGTTCATGCCCTGATAGCTTAGGACTTACAGGGCTTTGAATAATCAATGCTTTGCAGTCTAACTATGTTTTTCAGACACAAGCCAGAGGTGCTTGCAGACCAACCCATCTTCAAGCACACGTTCAAGGTAGTCCCAAATTCAATGTCCCATCTGCTTCCCCATGCAAGAGCAGCAGATTCGTCTTTCCTTCAGAGCCAAGGGGAAAACCCTGCAGTATTGCTGCGTGCTGACAAACTACACAATCACACAGGGCTGCAGAGCAAAGTGAACAGGGTGGGGACAATGCATGGGAACACCACCAACAGGCTTTAAAACAGGCACACCGGCACTGCAAAAAAATAAAAAAAAAGGAAAATATCACAAAACAGGAAGTGGGAGAAGGGAAGGGACAGAACCAGGATGGGAGGATTTTTTCTTTTTTACTTACGTATTCAGCAGTGTCATCTGTTTCCCACTGGGCAGAGAACAAGAGAGGTTTTGCACATGAGAATACAAGAGGGGAAAGAAGGGAAAGACAGAGACACAGCATGAGGAAGGAGTTCCTGAGCAAGCAGCCACACAAGGTCAGAAGTTACCAGGCCAGCATGAAGGAAGAAGTAGAGTGGGAGAAATTAGTAGATTCCACTGTGGCCTTTGCCTGTCTTAAAAGACTTCCCAGACACAGGGAGGATGGATGGTATTTAGTTCAGTGCTGGGACAGCAGTTCATACTCTTCCACAATAGCTATTGTCTGGGAGTGCAAATGAACTGCAGAAAGACAACATATACCTTGTCATAGAGACACTCATCTACTTTCTCCAGCATTGTGTTGCTTGGGACGAGACAAGGCGGCTGGAGCACCCACCCCCCTCAAACCTTCCACGAGAGGAGACTGGAGCAGGAGACGAATCCTTACCTGGGCATCAGCCAGCATGATATCCTTGATCTGGGGCAGCCCCCTGGCCTCGCCGTTCTCCATGCGTACATAGTGGACCTGGTAGCCGCGAATCTGGCCGTGCTGGCGGTTCTGGACTGGAGAGCGCCAGAACACTTGGATTGCAGTGGAGTTCAGGACCTCCACCTCCACTTTCCGAGGCGGCGCACTGGGCACTGCGAGGAAGGGAAGAAAGAGGTTAAGATTTGGGGATTTGGGGGATTTCTAGCTGAAGCCTGTCACTTCACCTATGGGACATACGCACACCGAATCTACAGCCCTGAAAGGGTGGGGGAGACTTAACAGTCAAACTAGATCCCATCATCTGCCACGGCCTTTATTCAGTGGCACAGGGAAGCAGTTCTGGGGGATCTATCTGCATGGCTCGGAGACGTGTATGGAAACAGGTCCATCTCGTAGTCCAGCCATTCTTCCACAGGCTCCTTTGTCCCCAGTTTGCTCAGATGGAAGAAAGCATACAGATCACATTCTGAGGGCAAAGCCAATTTCTAATGAGCCAGAACAGCTCTGGTCCCGCCTGTGGGACGTGGGTGCAGAGGGGGACTGGCCCTCGGAGTCCCCTCGTCTCTCAGGCAGGGCAGCTGGGTTGCCGGTTACAGCCGCTGCATAATCTCAAGACAGGAAACAAGAGATGTCTTGGATGGAATTTGGGCTAAAGTTTTGGAAATAAAATAATAATAACGGGCATGACAACTTCATCTGCAAGAAAACAGTAGTTTTTCTGAGCAGGGTATTCTATCCATTTGGATGCGGGCAGATGCTCAGGAAAACAGGACCCACACTGTGGACAAACCCGTTGCTCTTTTAAATTCTTTTTATCTGGGATGGCGGAAGAAAGCCTGAAAAGTTCGGAATTTACTTATGTTATTTACCTCATCTATATTTTTTCAGGGTCCTACCTCACCCTCACAGTGAGGGTGCTCTCCCTTCATGCACACATTCACATTTTTTCCTGGTTTTATTTTACTGTAGAAATACCAGGGAAATTCAAGTCTTCTTGTTCCTGTTTGTGCTAGAAGTCTCTGAGCTGGGCCACTGAACTGGAGTCTAAACGGCTTGTCACTGGAAGTTTTTGAAACTTTTAACAGAAATTCTTCCTTTCTACCACTAACCAAAACTGTGACTTAAAGAGGAGCTAGTAACATGGAACATGTGGGAAGAACGCTTAATATTTTAAAACAGTTCCTGGCAGCAATTGTCTCCTCTTCTCTGATTTCATTTCCGTGCTGCCTCAGCCACTTCCTTGCTCAGCAAGAGCATCTTTGAAGGAAAACTGGCACAGTCAAGGCTCAGAGGCTTGATATTCCCCCCACCCCATAAAAAAAAAAGAACCCTAAAGCAGGGAAGGACACCCCTACAGACCCCAATTCCCAGAGGGACCTGGGGAGATGGCAGCAAAGGATGCTGCACGTCTCGGACCAGAGGCTGCGCTGAGGCCCCGTTCAGGCTTCGGTCCTGCACCACACGAGCCACGAGAAGGGACTCGACGTGTCCTGGGAAAAGGACGTCCCGGGAAAAGCCCGCTCCAGGGACGCGCATTCACCCGGGGACGCGGGGAGAAACCAGAAGAAGTGCAATTACCATCTTCATCTGTCCGGACGATAACCGGCGAGCTCTCCGGGCCCGGCCCCACCTCCGTATGAGCCACGACAGTGATGCGATACTCTGTCCACTTCTCCAGGGACTCCAGCAGGATCTGACTGGTGGTTGGGGGGATATCATTCACCTCCTTAAGCTCCGTGTCCTCAGAGTCCAGCGCTCGATAGTAGACGCTGTATCCAGCCAGGATGCCATTTTGGCTTTCAGCCGGAGGCGGCCGCCAACTTACCAGAATGGCGGTGGATCTGGTGCTGACGCATTTTACGTCTTGAGGGGGGGCAGACGGTTCTACGAGGGGGGAAAATTCAGGAGGGAAAGGGAAGAAGGGGGAAAAAACAAAAGATGGGAAAGATAAAAGAAAAAAAAAAGGAAAATGATAACAAAAAAATCTAAAATAAAACGTACAAAAATTTGGTTTAGGAAGATAAAATTAAAAAAGGGGAGAGCTTTTTGTTGTTGTCTTTTTTTTTTTTTAAATGAAAAGAAAAAAAAGCCAACGGAAATGAAATGGGGCATCAAAACGGAAATGTTATAAAGGAAAGGACTAGAACAGCAAGCGGGCTAGCCAAGAGGGGTCCTGCTGCTTCTACTAAGTGTAGCTGGCGCAAAACTAAGCACCCAGCGTTACCCTATAAAAGAGCTTTCCTTTAGCTCCCTGTTTTACAGCAGTCTGGCAAACCCTGCCCTGGCTGGTAAAGCACTTGTTTCCAAACTGCAGTCTCTGGGATCTGAATTTCTTTCAAGGGATCTGTGAAAATTAAGTTAAGAAAAGCAAATCTTTTGCCAGGAGGCTTACATTTAAGAGTCTGCACCTCCAGATGGAAGTTATTAGTTGCCCGCAGACTGAAGGAGGTGAAAAATCATGGTGGTAATGCCCAGGATACTGCCAAGCAATGAGCCCCCAGCGTGTTCAGATTGGAGGGTTTTAGAGAAAATGCTTGCGAAGGAGGGAGGCAGCAGGTTTGACAAGGCATTCAGGTACCCAGTGGGGTTTTCAGAAGCGGCAGCAGGTCCAACTCCCGTTGCACTCTCAGCCTAAACTACACAAGGTATTTCTGGAAGTCCCAGGAGGACGCCCTTGGAAACGCGGCCCGACGCAGCCGCGTGTTCTCACATGGCAACAGTCAACGGTCCAAGGGCTGATTTTCAGGAGACGGGGAAGGTGTAAACCACAGCTTTCTAGAGCGGGGCTGCTCACTTCGGTGTTTACTGAACTGCAGTAGGTAATTTTTAGCACGGTCTGCTCAGTAGGAAGCAGGACGCCGACACCAGCTCCGGCAGACGCTACGTGCCAGCGCGCACGTTGCCATACCGCACGTTGCCATACCGGGGCCGTGCAAGAAACACGGGTTTGCTGATGGAGATGCCACAGGTCTGAGACCTTGCTGAACTCTGGACAGTCTGCCACTTCTGTACCCCGACTGTAACCTGGTCACTTTGGGAAACCTTAGACCAGGCTTCTTTCAATCACAAAGTACAATCAATCAGCCCTGGTAAGCAGGGAGAGCGAGACATTTTCAAAGCAGCTCTGCAAATCTGATCTCTCCCGATACAGTCAAACTGCAGTAAATAGCTCTTAACTCTCTGCAGGCACTGCCAGAAACTGGGGTGTCCTTATAAGCCCCCCAAGCATCACTTGCAAGAAGCACAGGATAAATGCTGGTCATCGTTTCTCATTTCTCTGTTGCTTTTTAATCAACAAAAAGCTCTTTTACTGAGGAATGATTTTTTCAAACCTCTTACTCCCATCCCTGAGTCACAAACAGATGTTTAGGCCCAGCTTGCCTTGAGGGCTCCGCTAAATCAAGTCACGCTTTGCCCAGTTTGCACTGGAGTGGAAGCCACACGCTCTGCATATGCCTCCGCTAAGCAGAGGTAAGCGGGTTTTGCAGAAAGGGTCAAGATAGTCCTCACGCTGCAGTGCTGAGCACGCTGCCCAGTAGGACATTTTGGGTGTCGTCCTCTACTTTCATGCTTTATTGCTACATTTTGGCTGTGTTTAAAATGGCAGAATGAAACCCTTATCCTCAGAAATCCCACTGCAGAGGGTGATGATCCCCGGCCATGGCTAGCCACGCAAAATAATACAAAATATGTCAAACAAACAAAACCAAAAGGAACAAACTGGAAAATAAAACATAAATCAAGCCAGTATTTCAAACAAACAAAAAAATCAGAAAGGAAATCATAATAATAAAATAATACTGATATAAAAAGTGACTCCTTCCAGAATATTCCCAGTCTGTTTACCTACCTTCCACGCTTCAACTGTTAACTTATAAGACTTTCTTACGAGAGAACAAGAGAAACTGAGCTACGAGGCCAGACCAAGCTCCTGGTGGGTTTCTGCACGTGACTGGCTTTTAAAATGCCACCCTGCCCCGCTGCTCGCTACCCCAACCGAGTTACCCCCCGCCTGCCAGCAGGACCCTAGCTCTCGCAGTAATGCCAATTTTGGACCCCAATCTATTCTCTTCTGCTAAGCTACCTGTGCAGAGACCCCAGAGCAGGGTGGCAGGTTCCCACTGGCGGGTTTCCTTCCCCCTACGGCTCTCTCCATCCGCGGCGTCTCCAAATCGGAGGCGCACTGCTCCTTCCCACACCCCAGGAGCAACTCAAGTCCCTTTCAGGGTCTGGAGGAAAAGACTCAACCCTCTTCCAGTGCCTGCCATGATGCTCTTTGCTTCTTTTTTCTCCCCATCAGGGGCTGGTAGTATTAAAAGCCACCTTTCCTGCTTAGCAGTCCAGCCGAAGCCACCACGGCTGAGAAACCCACTGCAGAGAGGGTCTGACCTGACCTACCCTTTCCATCCTGAAACTCATTCTGAAAGCCCCAGTAAGCAGAGCCCGAGCTCCAGCTGGCACTTGGGTTCACTGTTTGCACTGGCAGCTGCTGCGCGTGGCCACGCTCGCTTGCTCACTCACCCTCCACGCTCCAGCACAGGGACCTACCGAGGGGCCCTGGAGCGAGGCCTCCTTTTGGGACGGTTTGCACTTTCTCTGGTCAAAAAGGCGGGGTGGGGTGGGTGATGGGGGCGAAGGCCCAGATCGCACCCGGACCCCGTCCCCGTCACTCTCATCGACTACAGCACCTGGAGGAAAACAGCCACCAAGTGCTGGCTGGCCATACTGGAGACGCGTCTGGGGAGTTCATGGCACTGTGAGTTTCCTTCACAATCCAGCCCAACCTGCGTGACCCTGGAGACGCGCACGCGCGCGTGGGGACAGCACCGAGAAGGTGGGAGCTGCGCGCAGGAGGCAACGTGCCGCAGCCCACACCGGAGGCTGCGAGCTCATGTCTGCAACCAGCCCCCTCGCCGGAAAGGGACCCGCAGCGCAGGCACGAGGCCCCCGGCCAGGACATCATCACCTTTGTCCGTTGGCCTCTGTTTTTACCGGGCAGACGGCTCTTTGGGAAGCCCTCCCCGCCCTCCCACGGGCTCCAGGACATACATCAGTGCGTGCAGGTCCACACACGTGTGCGTGAGCCTGCAGCGACAGGGTGGACTGTATTTGTGAATCCGCTTGAGACCAGCCAGTACTCACCTGAACTGCATCTTTTACATGCTTTAAAGTTGACTGTCCAAGCCACAAGAATGACCCTTACTGACCTTGCACAATACAATGTTTTTTAACCCTTTAGGTACCATAGACTTTGTATAAGTTTCATTCACTTCATATACTGTGAGGAAGGGGGAAGGGAAGGAGAGCAGAGCTAATGGGTGGGGGAAACTTCCTTTCTTAGGAAGGAACAGAGGGTAAGAAAGCCCCATTGTTCCTCTACACCTGCACACGCAGCCTCACAGCACCCACCCTGCCACCCCTGTCTGTTGACACATGCTTTGCACTCTGAAATTTCTGAGTAGGAGAGTTGCCAAGGAGCCCTGGGAAGGTCATGGCTAGTTAGAAAGGGCAAAACAGCTTCCTCCAACCATGAGATTCTGTTGTTTTTACAATCTACGTCTCTGGTACTTGAAGAGTTAAAACCCAGCTACTTCAAGAAGAAAAAGATACTTTACCTTTAGTTTAATGGATTTTACTTTGGTTATGATGCTCAGGAGGAGCCACCCTGACAGGGAGGTGGAGGGTGTTGTGCAGAAAGGTGTGCAGTGCAGGGAGGGCTGCGGCATGCAGGCACATGCTTGCCAGCTGAGTTAGGAGGGGAAGGGCACCGAACGCCTCGGCAGGCTGCGGGAGGACGAAGGAGGCTTTGCCGTTGCAGAGACAAGATGCCATCGTGGTGTGAAACCGCCCAGCAAGAGACAGACAGACAGAGAGCAGGGAGCTGGTTTCACTGGGCTGCGAGAGCATGCAGGCAGGCAAGCAGACAGCAGAAGAGAAAAGAAAGAAGAGCCATGGAGCGGGCCAAGGAGGAGCTGAACGGAAAAGGAGCTGCAGAGGGAAGACACAAAAGCCTGTCCCGAGCCAGAAGGTCTGTGAGCCGAAGGATGTCACCCGGACCAGGGAGAATTGACTCGTTCCTCCAACAGCCAGCCAGGAAAAAATGTTTCACCGTGTTACAGGACACTGACAGCTCCCAGCTGATGTTCTTAAGAGCATTAAACCAATGAAACTATCCCTAGGAAAGCTGAGCTACAGAGAAATAAACCAGGCCTCATCCTGGGCAGGTGCCAAGTTAGAAAAAGCCCCAAAGCCTTCCCCTTTCCCGGATCCCCTTCTCTCCACCCTTCAGGGAAAAAATTTCAGCATCACTAAGCCCTACTGCCATCAGCTCCCACACCCCTCTTCCAGCCTGTTTTTATCGAACCAGAAAGCACAAATCCCAGACCCTCTTTTCCTCCCATCCCCATGAATCTCAAGCAGGGAAACCCCTTGGAAAACAGAAGCAGAGTGTGAGTAAGTTTGACACTTATTTTTCAGGTCCTTTCAGTTCATTTCCCCCCACCCCACTGTGATGCTCCCTCTGACAGTACCATACTGGGATCAGAACCAGCAGATTTGCAGCACAGCCAGGAAAGGATTTTCTTTCGGTATGTAGAGAGAGTAAGAAGGAGGAAAAAAAAAAAGGAAAAAAGGGGAAAAACATTTGAAGGAAAGAAGAAAACAAAATATCTTTGAATGGACTGGAGGCCTGAGAAAGCCCCAGCAAGGAAGTCTGTCTATGCAGAAACAGACTCCCCTTTCTTCCCACCCCTGGGGGGAGAGAAAGAGAAGGAGAGAGACAGGGGAAAGAGAGGGAGACAGCAGGACGTGACAATTAAAATGGAAAGATGGGGCAGGCGCCCAGCCGAGAGCCCGCTGCTCTCCCTTGTTAAGGACTCTGAGAGATGGGAGCAGGCGCTCTCTCTCCTCACACTGGTGACCAGAGCCATTTCTGAGTTAGTTCTGCTCCCGGCTACTCCAAACTGCAGCGGAGTGATTTAGTAGAGATGAGAGGAGACAGAAAACACAAAGAACAGCTGCCACAGCCACTCATGCAGTGAAAAAACACCTCATTTAAAAGCAAAGATCTGTGAAAAGCCCAGGTTGAAATATTGCCATCCAGGGTTATTGCCCCCAGGGCAACAGCGAAGGGAGACAATCCATTAAACTAAAACCAGCACATTTTGGTTGCATACGCTCCATCCTGGTGTCATTAGTATCCCCCCCACAGCCTCCACATGATTCCTCTCTCCCGTGCTGCCGGAGCCCAAATGGGACCGTTCCCAGCGCTCGCTGGGCCAGCAGGCCTTCCTCCCCACGGCTACGAAGTCGCTCATGGAAAAGAGCATGAGGACTGCTTTCCCAAAGGCTGGTGAAGACATTGGACTTTTGATTAATCACCTTCCCTTCTCCTCTTCCTCCCGATTCCCACACCGTCTCCCTGCTCCATTGCTTGTGCCCCCCTTCCGGAGAGCCGCTGCTCAGTTTCTGCGGGCGGACAGGCAAGCTGCGGCGCGACGCGGGCTGCCGTCCTCCCTGAGCATGCTCAGCACCGAGGGCCGGCGGGGCCCATCAACAAGCTCTTCACCGCTCCACACCCCATCAAGTGGATGGTGCTAACTGGCCTCCCCCATCACCCCCACCCCGGAGCATGCACCAGCCCCACTCTTCGCTCACATCTCAGCTATCTGGGGCAGCAAAGGGAGAAGGCAGCGGGTCCCAGAGGCCCCCCCCGCAGAGCAACCCCAGACCTGTGAAACGCCGCAGCACCGCGAACGTCCGCCCCACAGCTCCGTACCCCTGTGCCCACCATCTCTGGCTCCCTGACTGTCTTCCCCTCAGAGAAGGGTGGGAAAAGGAGAGACACCTACTAGACTGCAAGGTGCGCTCTCTGACCTCCGGGGTGAAGGCCCCCAGGCCCAGAGCCGAGCGGGCGGCCAGCCGGAAGACATACTCAGTGTTGGGCTTCAGGCCTTCCACAGTGAAGGAGGTCATGGGCTCGAAGTTCTTCGGCACCTGAGATGGGCGAGGGGGAAGAAAAAAATAAAAACAAACAAAAAGGAGCAGAGGCGAGCCCTGCCCAGAGACACCTGCCCTACTCCCCTCTCTCAACCACCTTGGGGAACGGAGGGCCGGGATGCTCCTCGGGGCCCCAACCCTTTGTGCTGCTGCTCTCTGGACTCACCTCCCTGCCGTGGTCTCCTTCCTTATAGAGAAGCTCATACTTCACTATGATCTCCTGGCGGGGAGGGCTCCACGACAACACGATGCTCGTCTCCGTCTTGGCTTCTGCTCGGAAGTTCATCGGCTGCCCGGGAACTGACACAGAGAAGGAGCCCACGGGGCAGAGATAAGATGAGAGACAGGAGAAACCCCATTAACTTGGCTAATTAGAAGACTCCTACTTTGTTTTCTTCAAAGCCTGTGTGTGATGAACATGTCAGCAGCAAAATGCGACGCTGCAGAGTGGGCATGCCCTTCCTTTAAGGCAGTGGAGGGTTAAATCCCACTGCAGGACTCAAGCATGTCCAGAGCTGCTGGAGATGGAAGATTCCTACTGGATCATGCCTTTCTTGGCAGTGCAGAATACAGCCCTTCCCACTAATCCTCAGTATTAAAAGATTCTGGAAGTGGGAAGCCCCTGAGCAGCCTGTTGAGGACGCAGGGCTTCCTCACCCATGCCATAAGTCGAGCACCCAAAAGCACACTGGATGACAATCTGTGATGAAGCACCTTTTGTTCTCAGCTCAACACATCTGCTATGACAGTTTGGGCTTTCTTTTGCTCTCCTTTTAGAAAAAGGCAAAATAAGGCTCATTCCCCACTCCTCTCTGAGAAGGTAGTTTCTGGGTACTTTGAGAAGCACTAAGCTTCACCATTGCCTGGGCAGTGAGTGCTTTTAGGTCTGTTAAAGGCATTTAGAAACTGGAAGCAGTAAGAAAAGCAGGGTAGTGCTGAGAATCAGGAAGAACAGACATTTAAAAAACCTCACTTTGAAACATGGCAAAGCAGAAATGGATTATCTTTGCATAATTCTTGCCCCACCCATTTAAGCAACAACCTTTCAGAGAAAAAACAGATCAGAAATCATGCACCAGGCCCTTTGGCTCCAGCCACTGGACCGATCTTTCTCCCAGAAGGTTACTTCTAATTTTAACCAAACTAAATCAGTGAAGGAAAAAAATGCTCTGGTGACATAGCAGCCACAGCTGGATAATGCTGTAAGCCAACACCTCTCCCTCCTCCAGCCCAGTGCATCCAAGGTTAGTGACACAGGTTCTCACCTCCTTGCTGCGTCTTAACCTGGATGGGGTCGGAAAGAGGCCCGTCTCCCACGGAGGTGAAGGCCAGGACCCGGACTGTGTAGGTTTCGTCCTCAAGGAGGCTGCCCACCGTGGTCAGGAGGCTGTCATCCACGTTGTGCTTCTGCCAGTTGCTGACGGGCTGATCAGGCTCCATGGTATAATACACACGATAGCCACGGATCTGCCCATTGGGCTCCACCGGTTCCTCCCACTGGATGATCATGGTGGTGCTGCTCAGCATTCGTCCCTGCACATTACGGGGGGCACTGGCAGGAGCTTGTTCCCCAGTGCGAGTGACCACTGACTCGCTGGGAGGCCCCTGCCCGATGCTGTTGACTGCAGAGACCCAGATCTCATACTCAGAGTTGGGGCTGAGCCCCCCAATACTGTAGCGTGTGGTGGTGATGTCCTCTTTGATCTGATACGGTCCATCCTGGCTTTTAGACTTGTATTCAATGACATAGTAGGACACAGGGTCTGGATTTCCAGAGTCCCAGGTGATGGTGATACTTGTTGCTGTCGTCTCTGTCACCACTGGTGTCCCAGGAGCCTTGGGGAGTGCTGAGAATCAGGAAGAACAGACATTTAAAAAACCAAACACATATGCTGAAATGGTGCCTAATTGGGCTAGTTAGGGCTGTAGGAGCCAGCGGCACAGTACCAATCACAGTGCGGCAGTTCAGTAAAGTGCTGCTGAAATATTATGAACCTTGTTATGCACTCTATTATCCTCCTTAAACTGCTCCATCAAAAGGAAAGTGTTCAGCTAAACATCTGGAATCATTAGCACAGACTTCAGCTGCACATCCGCCGGCTCACACGGCAGTAAGGAAAAGCAGTTTTGCAGGAGCTCCTTCCGAGCATGTAATCAGATCTTCCGAAACAGCGCTGGCAGCCCGGCTCCGGCACTGCTGAATCGCTCCATGTTTAGTGTGCTGGTAACGGTATAGTGCGGCCTGTGCTCTCCAGAACAAAAAAACTATAAATACTTGGAGTGCTTCCTCTCAAGCCACAAACGTGTGTTAAGAGTCATCTCCCTGGTCCCTCATCCAGAAGACAACCTTTGGAGCTTGCTGGAGACTGCACGCTAAGTGTCAGACACCTTTAACAGCGAGCTTTACGTGTTTTCCTCACCACATGCTTTAGACCCTTTCCAATCTCATCTTCTCTAGACTTGAGCACCTCTAAAGCTCTAACTTCTTTCATCTTCTGCCTGGGAATGATTGCAGATGCTTACATGCAGGAACATAAGGGGGAACAGAATACAAATAAAATGACAAAAGGCAGAAGGTACCAGCAGGGCAAGATTCCCCATCTGAGGAGATTGGACAGTTGGAAGCACAAGCAAGGTATCTTACACAGCAGCTTTCTAAATTGATAGGGTAAGACAGGGAAAAAGGGGAAGGAAGAAAATACTCAGGAGAATAAAGAGCACCTCAGTCCAGCCCCAGGCATCCTTCTGCTAGCACGTGAGCCCACTCCCTGTGCAAAAGCTCAGGATGAGTGTCATGTCAAGATTCACTAGTTCCTACTCATTTCTGTTGTTGGACCTTCCTTAGTCAGATGCACTCATACAACAGGATTGTTTTTCTTTAGCCCTCCCCTTCTCTGAAGTATTTATCCTCCTCTCCCCCACCCCCCGCATCCTTTCCCACCCCTCTCCCCCCAGATCCCTCGTGGGCAATGCCAGCACTCGGAGCAGACACCAGCTCATACAAAGAGCTCTACACTCACCCAACCACAGGGGCATCCCGCTTGGGTTTTAATACTCCCCTGCTGAGGACAAAATAGATTGAAGATTGCACCCGTGCTCCTTGTGGGAATTGCTAGCTGGAAGCTGGGGTTATTCCCCCTCTTGCTGAGGCAACAACGGCCACTAAGATGCTGGAACTAGGCTCTACTGTAAGAGCACACATGCCAGAGACCCTCAGGGCCTTGTCTGAATCTCTAACCTTGGAACAGGACGGCATGCAGGCTTCAAGCCATCCAAGGCTCCTTGCAAACTGCCCAGCCAGACCCGTAGCCCAGGACAGAAACAAACATGCAGGGGTTTGAATCACTTTTCGTCGTAACAAACAGCTCAGTTGTCCTAAAGCGAGGAAAGATCTCAAGCCACCAGCTTCCCCTTCACTGTGGATTTCTTGGTGTGTGGGATCCCCGAAGATGCATGCACAGATCCCAGCACACGGCACTCACGGTGCCCAAGTTTGTCTTCCTGCTCATGCTCACATACCTACGCACATACATACAGGCTTGTAACAACACGGACTTACATACATGCAGTCAGGCACCCACATGCCCATACAGCCACGCTGCTCCCTCTCCCATGCACGCACACACACTCATGCACGACTACCTTTTGACATGCATAATTGTGTCCCCACGCTCCTCATGTGCGGCTCAGACAGCCACAGGCTCACCCCATGCCGACACCCGAAGACACAAGCAGAAACAGGTGCCCACACAGTCACACGCTCATGCACCAGTGAAGGCTGACAGGCACAACCACGTATCTACAAATGCTCACATGCACAAACATGACACGTGCCCGCATTTGCTTTGCACACATGCTCAGATGCTCTGTGACGGCCGTGCACCCAACACGTGCCTTGCACATCTATACACCCATGCAGCAGCTCGCACGCTTGCGCATGCACGCTCCTACAAACGTGCGCAGTCGGGGAACCCACGCACTCGCTCACGCAGGCGTGCTCACACTCTCTTACATTTCACCGTGATCTGAGCAACGGCTTCTATGACTCCCAGACTGGACATGGCCACACACGTGTAGTTGGCTGAGTCCTTGACATCCGTGAGCTCCAAGACATTACGGCCCACAGGCATGTCATCTTCAGGTGTCAGGTCCTCTGCTCCCTGCATCCACTTGACGTATGGCATGGGCGAACCCACGGCCACGCAGGTGATGTTGACATTGCCACCGGGCATGATTTCGTGGCTGACGGGTAAGATGGAGAAGCGAGGGGCCACGCGGCGAACTGTGGACGAGACGCACAGAGGTAACAAAAAAACAAAACAAAATAAAACAAAAAAAAAAGAAAATAAAACAAAAAAAAAAGAAAGAAAGGAAAGAAAAAGAAGAAAAGGGAGAAAAAGAAAAAAGAGCAAAAGATAATTTAAATATAGATGGGGTTTGTCATCACTTATTTTCTTCCTTCATCAAAACCAAAACAAAAAGCAAATAAACTAAAAAATCAAAAACCAAAACCAAAAAAAATTAAACTTCAAATAAATTTTTACTTCACAAACAATATATAGAATATAGACATAAAAGCGATATTTCATAGCAACAGGGTTCCATTGATCAAGATTAGACCCATCACAGCACAGATAAATACACAAAAATTTATTAGCAATTTCTCATCTTTACTGGCAAGAGCTGGCATGGCGAGCGTCGAAAAATCTCCTCCACAGCCGCTGGGGCCCCCAGCTCCCCGCTCCGCGCCCCGGGAAACCTGCTCCTCCCCTTTTCCAGTGGAGCCTGACTCCCACATCACCTTCTCCCACGGCAGAACGGAACAGCCCCTCCACCCCCTGAGCGGTCCGGGTGCCGCCTCCGACTCCGGAGAGGGGCCCTCTCCCACCCGGCCGCTCCGCGCCCGAGGGCTGCTGCAGCGGTGGGGCGGTGGCAAGGAGAAGGCTGGGATGGGGGTGGAAACTTCTCACGATTTGCCTCGTTGGACCCACAGGATCCAACAGAGAGAGAAGTATCGCATCCCCAAATGCCAGAGAAACACCACTCACAAAGTATAGAGGCAAAAACATAAAAAAGGGAGGAGAGGGAGTCCCCGGAGCGGGACAGAATTTAGTCAGTGCCTGCGTGTGAGAACCGCCCAGGGAGAGGCAGTCCCCCTGGAGCGAGAAAGAGTGTGGAAAAGATGAGAAACTCTAATGAAATTTTTGTGGTTTTCGGGTATAGAAACCCTAACGAAGCCTCTTTAAGATCTGACACGGTTCCATCGATAGATGCAGCTCTCAGAGTCACAAACATCATGCAAAATAGGTAAAAAAGAGAGAGAGAAAAAGATAGAAAGAGAGAGGAGAATGCAGAGAAATATAATTTATGGGCGGCTAGCAAATGCCCACATGGATACTAATAGAAAGAGAGCGACAGAGAAAGAAAGGAAGACAAGGAGAAGGAGAACAAGGAGGGGAAGGGAGAAAGAAGAGAAAGAGAGGGAGGGGAGGGGGAAACCCACTTTAATGCTGCATACTTTTTCTAGCTGATGTGACCCAATGTGGTGGCTCACATTGTCACATCTCAGCCCTGGCGGAATAATAGAATAGAATTAATAAGAAAAACAAGGTAATGACACTTTTAACGTTGAGAAAACAGTGACATGTTCTGTGCATCTCCTTAGCAGAGAGGTGGATGCAGCTTCCAGACCTTACACGGTAAGAACATGGACGCAAAGGGGAGGGTGCGGTTTCCTTGGCTCCATTTTCTGAACTAACTGGGCTGGCCGAGCGGCCGAGGTGGGTGCTCGTCCTTAGGGGTGAAAGCAGGAGAACAGGCAAAGGAGAAACGTAAGTGGAGCAGAGAGGCCCTAGGGAGGGAGTTGAGGGCAAGGTCCCATCCCGCAAGCAAAGACAAAAGGATACAGACCCCGAGAAGGTGCAGGCACAGCAGCAGCCTAAGGAGAAAAGGAGCACGGGACTCCTCCAGCTTCAGAGACAGCCATGCAGTAAAGTCCTCTCAGGTAGGGTGAGTGAGGGGGCATGAGAGTTAGGAGAGCTGGGGGCCTGAAAAAGAGCTGTCCCTGCTGTCATATTCCCAGGTAACCTCTCTGAACAGCCTCTGTAAAAATGCAGTGGCAACTGCATCCATGCACAAGCAATGCAAAGGACATCAGAGCTTAGCCTGCAATCGCTCTTCCCAAGTCCTAGCGCCTTCAGGTGTCCCCTGGGACTGATGTCTTGGGTTTTTCTAGCATTTTATCTTCCAGCCCGCTTCCCTGGCTGCTGCTCAAGATTACGGATCTTTTCAGATGGGAAGGGTGCTGCCACGAGAGGTAGTGGCTGTTTTCCATTTAGTGGGCCTTTGTTAAATGAAAGCCAATATAGCTTCTGCCTCCTCCTGCAAGCTGACCAGGAGATGTCTTCATAGAAAGCTGCGCTCTTCCCATCGTGTTATCAGATCCTCTTCTGCAGTTACCAGTAGTCAGGAACCAAAGGCAAGGAAGAGAAGACCTCCAGATTTGCAGCATTAGAAGCTCAGAGATGTCAAAGGAGAATTCCTGCATGCACGGATTTGTGAAGAGGATGGATAGCATGCCCTCACCTCCAACGTAGTCGGGGAAGGCACTGGAGTGCAGAGGGAAAGGCTGCAAACTCACCTGGATGCTAACACTAGAAGATGACTTGCTGCTTAGAGAAAGGTCTAAGGAGAGTACCACGGTATTTGCACAGCCTCAGGCACCAGCGCTGGCTCGCGAGAGCAGGCAACATGCTCCTTTCTGCCTCCTGTCACACCGCTAGGGAAGACTTTTAGCCCTAGACATGAGGGTATGTCCCTGTTGCCTACTCCATCTTTCTTTCCACTGTCTGCATCAGGAGGCACCGCATTTCAGAAAATGGAGCCATGTGAAGACCACACCGGTCACAATCTGAGACAAGATGGAGAGAACTTGAAAAGAAACAAGTGGGGTCAACATGCAGACAGATCTGGGGTGGGGATGACTCTTTTGAGGAGGGGCTGATATGTAACCTTCTGGAGAGGGGAGGCAAGGTGGGAAGAGGTGAGGAGAAATGGGGAGACATATGCCGGACAAGATCCGGTCAGCAAACAGCATCAACAGCAACAAACAACGGCAGGTGAGATGCAAACACTGAGTTGTCATGGAAACAGAACAAGACAAGTAATTCAAATTGAGGCTAATCACAAAGAAATAAAACTGAACTAAAAGAGAAAGAAAAAAAAAAAAGAAAAAGGAAGAACAAACCGGAATTTAATAACTGAAAAGCATCATTTGATGTATGGTGGAGTGCTGAGAATCGGAGTCTGAAGGGAACAGCCTGCTGCCGTCTGCGTGGTTTTGGGCAGGGAAAGGAAGAGATCCACTCACAAAACACAAGCTCAGGGTCACGGAGCTGGAGCCGTGCAGAGCACGCTCACGAACAACTGCAAAGCCGTTCTCCCCCGCTCCTCGCAGCACCCAGGGGTCTAGCTCAGCCTTGTGGGGTCTCAGGGCAGCACGACTTTTTGGCTGTTTTAACAGCATCTGTCACATTTAACTAATGGGAAGCAACCAGCACATCTGGATGCCAGCCCAGAACAATGCGCATTCTGCGAAAAGGGAGAATTTGGGGTTCGGGTTAGCGGCAGGCTAATGCAAGACCAAACAGGCAGCAGTACTTCTGTTGTGCATCCTGGTTTCAAAAAAGCTACACACTCCTGTGCGTGCACAAATATACAACCATCCACACACCAGTCTGGGATGTGAAAGTACTCCAACATTAAATGCTGGAGACCTCAAAGAGTCCCTAGACACATCCCTGCTATGGCTCAGGGCTGTGACAACTGCATTTATTGTAACAGGAAATACTTATAGGGCTCATCTCTGGATACCAAGAACCATCATGCCGCTGTTTATTTTAATGGCTATTCCACTCTGATTTGGCTGTTGACATGAGATTTGTCAAGCTGAGAATCTCTGCGTCAGTGTTTAGCTCAGGGCCTAAGAGGAGAGCGGTGGTGGGAAGCAAGCTTGAAGTGCAGCTAAGAGACTGAATCAAGAACAATTTCAGCTCTGGGTCCAGCTGTGTTTCACACATAGCAGCTGAAAGAGTGAAATTTTACATGTAAAAATTGCGGTGAACAGATTCCTTCCATTTTGCTGTCCAACACATTCAAAGAACTGGAAAGAAACGAAGAACTGCCCTCTCTGGAAAGGAGAAGTTGGGATGGGGCAGTCAGATCTCTACTTTATAGACAGTTATCTAATACTGTCACCAATTTCTGGTTTTAAGAAGCACCTTCCCTGAGTTTCAGGGATGTCTGGTTTCCACAACAGCTTTGTCAGACCTGTTTTACAACGCCAACCTTGCATGCATACATACGTGCATGCTCCATGTGCATGTGCAACATCTCCCAATATACACACACAAGCAGGCACACACAAACACACATTTTCAACGGCCAAAAAACTCTCAGGAGCTTTTTTCAAACAAGGATACAGCTCATTACTGATAGAACCAGATTTTAGAACTGGAGCTGGATATTTGTGATGCAAGTCAAATTACTTCAATGCAGAGAAGCCATTTCTGAGGCACAGAAAGATTTCCTAGGTGCAGTGAGTTATGAGTCTGTTTAATATTGTCTATTTGATAAGTATTTCACACAGGCAAATCTGCATCTCAAATTCTGTTTAACATAACCTTCATTAGAAACTGGACAGATCCGTAACTTTTCACACCCTTGTAAAGCCAATTGGTTTTGTTGCTGCTCATGGATGCAGAGAGGTTAACCCAGTTTGTGTTCTGTGAGTAGCATCTTTGGTGTGTTATTCTTTCCAGCGAGAAGGTACCAATCATCATCACTAAGGTTCCCCACCACCACCACTCAGTTAAAAAGAGAGCTGGGGTCCACAAGGTGAGAGACATTTTTGA